TTCAAGCATATAAAACTTTACAAATTGTAGTAATGTAAAAAATATTAGGACATAAAAGTACTCTATAAGAACTACAAATTGCAGTACTTGTATTCAAATCTTTGACAGAGCATTTTGCATAGGACATAAAAGTATGTGCCTAGAAATAAGTTTTTAAACATTTTTCACTTTCTTTTAATTGTTACGATATTCTTTATGCACCTTCACCCCCTCCCCCCGCCCCCCAAAAAAAAAAAAAAAATTTTTTTTGAAAGAAAAAGGAAAAAAGATCTTGAATGGTAATTTTGTGGTATTTTATTATGAACTTCTGTTATATTTTTAATTTTTGAGGTGGTATATTATTATTAAAGGAGTAGAATAGTTTCACACATTAACAAACTTAACATTAAGATGATATATAGTCAAGCAACTAAGTACGAATTTCTGATTCGTTTAATATTAAGTCGAAGAATTTTTTTTGGCAAAAGCCTCTACATTTGAATTGATTAAAAAAAGAGGCTCAGTTAATATAAATGAGTAAATATCACGTTTGATGCTTTTCAAATCACTTTGGTAGACTCTTTAGGAATTTACAAGAGAGAAGTTTATTTGTATAAAATTTTTGAAAAGGTTTTATAGCATATAAGTTGTTACCTTAGGTTATTGTAGCTTAAAACTTTTTAGCATGCTCCAGAAAGTCTCATTTTTCAGTAAAAAGGGACCCCATTTTAAAACGGTCATTTTCTTCAGAATCGCTCTGCTGGGAAATTTTACTCAGAAGACTTGATATTTTTTTTTTTTGGGGGGNCTAGACTTCATTTGTCCAGACTATAATTTGTCGCCTTCCTACAAAAAATATTGAACTACGCTAAAGTTAATTATAATTTCATACGTTAGCGTCATTTATTTATCTAATAATGTTGATTTTCCGAATTACTATCTTGATATTCTAATGTAACTTCATGTCATTTTGTGTGCTGACTTTGTTTTTCAATTACATAATATAATAAACATTGTAACTTTTAGTATGCATTTGGACAATATTTACTTGAAGCTGCAAAATAATATTTAAAAGTTTGGTTAATTTGGACATGTAATTTGTCAACTTCAACTTGTAATATTATTTGCAGAATAATGTATGTGTTAATTTTTGGTTCGTTATTTATACTTCGAACAGTGAAATAGAGAATTTAGAATTAAAATTGTTTGAAAAGTATTTCTAATCAAGTGAAGTTTATGTCCAAACACAATTTAATTTTTTTTTTGAATTTAACTTTAAATAACAGAATTGAGACTACACTTATATAACTAGACAAGATTTAAAAAATATCTACAGAATCTTAGCATCATTTATTGAATAACAAATGAGGCAGCAAAAATACTATATTAGTAGCAATTTCCATCTTGTAGTCAATCAAATCCCAACAAACCTCCTAATTTATCTCCTAATTAAACTTCCCGATAATAACCTTCTATACATGATCTCGGTCTTTTCAAGCAAAACTAGACATACCATCAAAGGAAGACACAAAATAATCTGCACTATTGAAGGCATTTCCTTAAACTTCCAATTAAGTGAATTAGTATATTATGGGCATATTGTAGGTTTGTGATTGTTAATTCAGTATGCGTAGAAAATTATATACACGACATAATAATGGTATATCATACATTAATTAGTATTTGTTTAGTTATGTATGAATATATAATTATATTATATCATGTATTAAGGGTATATTGTAGATTTTTATTTTTTTAGTTAAGTGTGTAATAATTATATACACATTATAATAATGGTATAACGTACATCGCATTTGTTTATTTATGTGCACATACGTAATTATATACATGGTATAATAAAGATATTCATGGTATAATAAAGATTAAAAAATTAGGTTAAGAATTTTTAAAAAACGGAGAATGTCAGTAGCAAGAGAAATTAGATTTAGGGTGAATTCGAAGGAAATATCAGATATACTTATTAAATCAATTGTATACTCAAAGTCAGTATTTTGATCGAGTAAATATCATTTTGGTTAAAATTATCTAATAATCGATTATAAATAGTAAGAAAGAAGAACTAAAATACAAACCAAACCTGCATGTCTAACCATCACTATTGTCAAGCACTTTCATAATATTTTATTAATAGAGAAACGGAAATGTATTAATGAGGATGAAAGAGAAATGTATATGCATTTATTAGAATATAAACTAATTCCTTAATTAGTAGTCTTTCATTAACCGTAAGTACTATTAGAATATGTCATAAGTGCAAATGAATTTATCAATTTTGAAAAAAATCAAAGGCTGTGCTATTTATTTAAATAGTTTTATATATTTTCCTCACAATGTTAAAATTTCTAAATTAATTTTATCGAATAACACAATGTAACACAAATTGTTGGGCTTGTACTAGCACGGGCCAACAACAGTCTAAATAAGAAATTAAATGTATTCAGGAAATGAGTTTCAAACTGTGATGCTTGCTTCCTTTTATAATAATAATAATAATAATAATAATAATAATATCCACCACTGCAACAGCCACAAGGTTGGCATATAGGGGACATGCATGTGACTAGTGCTAGGGGGGTTGACTTTTTGTTGGGAGACGTTAAAATATAATCAGATTTACAACTGGTCGTCAAAAATGGCTCAGTTTTAAAAGTAATCGAAGTTTAACCACTTTTTATGTAAAGATAAATCTGAGCGAAAACATTGTTCAAAACCCGAAAAATACACTAGTATATTATGCTGGAACTGCTGGAGTTCCAACATAAGTATACTTGAACTCCAGCATATTATGCTGGAGTTCCAGGATAAGTATGCTGGAACTCCAGAATAATATGATGGAGTTCCAGCACAAGTACACTAGAACTCCAACAAAATATACTGGAGCCAACAAAGTATACCGGTCCAGCATAATATACTGGAGTTCAACCGGTTTATGTTACAGCAAAATAATGGCTATTTTTTATTGACTTGATAAACACTGGTTATTTTTGAATGACCAGTCCGAAAACAGGTTATACCGTACTATTTTTACCTTTTTGTTGGTTGAAATGAAAATGTTTTTATTCAACTAAAATAAGTATATATACACAACTAGCTCAATTGGACTAAAAAGCTACTTCTTAGAAAAATAACCAAATTAAAACCTATAAGACTAGATTACTCACCTACCAGTAGGAGTGGCAAACAGTGGGGTCAGGTCGGGTGGGATATGGTTTGGGTCGAAATCGGGAAATGAAAAAACAGATAAATTATCCGATCCGATCTATATTTAGTACAGATAAAAAATGGATTAACCGGCGGATAATATGAGTAACCATATTATCCATGACTTCTTGCATATGATCATTTTTGGGAGAATTCTTAGCTTCCCTAACTTGAGAAACTCCCAGTTTGAGGCTTTACAAATGTAAAAGTTAGACCCACTGGTTATCCATTTTCTAAATGGATAATATGGTTCTTATCCATATTTGACCCGTTTTTAAAAAGTTCATTATCCAACCCATTTTTAGCTGATAATATGGGTCGTTAACTGTTTTCTTTTAGCCATTTTACCACCCCTACCTACCAGCAGCTTAGGCTTATCACCTTACGAGAACGGGTATAAGTCTAAAGGGTCACTTGGTCGGATGCATTAGAAAAAATAATGCAAGCATTACTAATCTTTGCATTACTAATACACCTTATTCAGCATTATTCTTGTACGACCCCTAAGCCTCTTCATTTAGAGGCATCCAGACTCGTTCAAATTGGAAAACTATTAAGCTGGTTCAATGTATTTCTCCATTTACAATTGCCCATTTGCCCTGCCAAACTATATGTAGTTGTAATACTATTCTTGAAATCTCCTGGATTTTCTTTCAGCCTACTTGTAGGATTATACTGGATTATTGTTGTTGTATATCAGATACTTTTATCAAGTGAAACCAATCAAACGCCTCAATCCCAAGTTAGTAGAAATTTATGTCTCAATCTCAAACTAATTGGATTCAGTTAACCAGATTTATAGCAAAGACTTTTTTGATCAGTTTGCGTATTATTGGAATATATATGTCCCAAAGCAGAAAAAAGAAAACAACACAACAGAGTACAATGGAAGAACTAATTGAAAAGGTAAACAAGCCCACTAATTAAAAGATTAAAATAGCAACAAAAAGTAAAAGCACAGGCGATGAACAGATTATGATTTAGCAGAAAAGATAACACAACAAACATTAAATGTTATGCTAATAGATTTTCTATATGGCCCCAATTTATACATACAAATATATATGATATAGGAATGGTTCAATGCGAGAAATATTTGACTGAATTCTTGTTTACGAAGTTGCAGCTATCCATTACAAAACAAAGAATTCTGTTCTTACATGTAATTATTCAAAACCCAAGTAGGCTTATAAATCAGAGATCATGATATGATCTAGTGTTCTTGGGTAGTCTCAGACCTTCTAATTGGTATTTATCTCGAAAATATTTGGAAATATACCTACAAGGTTTGCTTGTTACTAATATAATCTAGACTCTCTTCTTCTTTAGATCCCTTGTTTCAGTCCGATCGTAATATTGATCGTGTGAGGAAATGAATACATTTATATACTATTTAATCTTTTATCTCACACACATTTGGCAAAAACCATAAGCAAGACAGTCAGTTAACATATTAGAAAGTACACTCAGAGAATGAACATTCTCAAGTAGTTTCTATTTTATCACCTAAAAGCAAATATAGGTAAATTATTAGTAATTTTTAAGGAAATAAGGCAGGCACCGAACTACAACTGTTTTAATTTTCAACAACTACAACAGGGTAAACTATAGTGTAAAATTTCGTTAACTCCAACAACAAAGATAGATTTAAAAAAAGGCAAAATCACATAAATCATTAGGCAATGAACTTGCATATAAGAATTAATAAAAGAATCCCCAATTTCAGACATAATTGACCATTGAGTAATGATAAAGTATCCATCTTTAACAATAGCAAAAAGTGAAAATGAAGAGGAAGGAAAAATAAACCGCAGGAAATTCATTGAAAATCCACATCTATAAATGCCCTCTTGACAAACAAAATAGTAGTATATATAACATTTTGATCAATCAAAACAACTATAAAAACCACAAAAAAACCAAGTAAAAAAGACAAAAAAATTAGAAGAATCACCACCATCCATAGACAACCTGTGTACACTTGTCTTTAAACCATCTGAAACTTCTCCTTAAAGATCCTTTGACTTTGCCTTCAACAGAATAAACTTTATAACTAGCAACTCTCCTTTTCCTCTGAAACTCAGGATCATTTAAGCTCCAAGATTTTGAAATTGAGCCACTAGTACTCTTCCCTTTCTTCATCTTGTTCTGTGGTACTACTGGAGGTGGTGCACCAACAGAAGAAGAAGCATATGAAACACTATATGACCTAAAATCTTTAGTAGAAAATTGGGGTTCATAATATTTCTCAATCTGCATCCTACCATCAGTATAAGATTTTGATCTGTAATCTTCCATATTGATGTAGTTTTGATTTTGAAGGCAAGAAAAGAAAAGGAGGAGATAGGTATGGGAGGATGAGAAAATTTGGACAGAGTGGGATGCCAAACTGCCAGAGAATAAGGAATAAGATGTGCTGTGTAACTACTAATGTGTAAAGACTTTTTTAATTTTGAATTTTGAGGGGGCATTGATTGAGTTTCTTTTTCCTTTTTTATTGATTCTAGAGATTGGCGTTTATAATGGGAAACAACTTGTGTTTTGGGCTCAAGAAAACCAAGGTATTGACTAGTCAACTTTTATGTCCATGTTATATTGAGTATCTACATATTTTGAGGGAGACATTTTTTTTCCAAAAGTCTCCTTTTCCTTAAAATGTCATATTTACGTATTCCTACAGTAAATTGATTTGGTCCTTAACTTTGTTTTTTTTTTCCCGTTGGAAATTTCTAGAGGAAATAGTTTTCTTTTATTTCTCATAATAATTGGTTCATGGCAGACTTGTAAACCTATTGACCAAAGAAAATCTGAAATTTGACCTAAGAATTGTGAGGTGACTAAGAAATTATCAAAATATTTATGTATATTGTGCACAAAAGATGTTTTTTTTATGTTTTCCAATCTATCTCTTAGATTTGAAGGGAAAAAAGAATCATAAAACAAGTTAAGAAGAAAGTATACCATTTTTGGGACAGATTCCCTAACTTGTCCATGTTATGAAAAAGAAACCTAAGAATTTCAAAATATAGGAAAACCCTATTTCAGATAGAGAAACTCTCCCCTCTCCCTCAAAAATACCCTCATGAATACAATCACTATAACACAAATTATACCAGTGGAATCACCGGACAAGAATAACCATATGAATGTGGAAGAAATAACATCACATTCCTATAAGGAAATGCTCCTTGACAAACCTGTAGTTCACCAAACGGAATACTATGACGAAGATGCCACCACAATCATCAAAGATGATAAAGGAAAAAATATTGAAGGCTCAATCGTCCTTTCCCAAGAAGACAAGAAACGCCTATATCTTCCATGGTGCTTCTTTGTTATCATAAAGGTCTTCGGACGTAGAATGCCTCGCCACTAACTTCGCTCTAAACTAATTGACTTATGGAAACCATCTGAACAGTTAATTTTGATTGACCTAGGATGAGACCTCTTTATTGTCAAATTTAGTCTAGAAGAAAATATGGCTAAAGCACTACATCTAGGGCCATGGTATGTCTTTGGGAATTTCCTATCAGTACGTAAATGGGAACCAAAGTTTGTGCCACAAGAAGCTACCCTCTCTACCACAACCATATGAATTTGCCTACCGCAAATTCCAACCGAGTTCTATGACAAAGAAATACTAGAAAAAGTTAGAAGAAAATTGGGCAAATTACTAAAAATTGACTCATGCACCTCCTCTACGCTGAGAGGAAGATACATGTACATCTGTATCCAAGTACCATTAGAAACCTCAGTGGAAACATCAGTAATAATTGGAGACCACAAGCAAGCAGTGATTTATGAAGACGAAGACACACTATGCACAACTTGCGAATGAATTGGCCACACAACAAAAAATTGCAACTTCAAAAATTACATCCACCCCAGCCACAAGAGACACCAAAAACCTCAGGGGAAAACATTAAGAAAGGGGGTGAGGATGAATGGAAGACAATAACCTTCCCACAATGAAAGAAAGCAAACCAACAGAAGACGAAAGAGATAAACTGCTAACAACCAGCATCATGCATCACAAGCACAAAAGATCTAGGTAAAAATGTTCGATGCAAATTCAGGTAAGTTTCTAGAAACTAAAACAGTTTAATACAATTCTAAGTCTAATAATACTAGATCAAAATATAACAACCGGCCCAACAACCCAGTCAATAAACAAAACTCCCATCCCCCACTCCCCAATAACCCATTTCACGTAGCCCCAACCTAAACATAATGCCAAACGTAAGGAAGGAATGAGGCCTCGATGAAGCTGACACTAATTTGTATCCTTGGCCACTCAATGACACCTACAACGAGGCCCCTACCCATAACCCAACCCCCACACGCAAAAATGTTAAAGTTGGGGCATTGGGCCACCAGGCCGGTTCTGAACAAGCAATTGGGATCCACACCTAATTGGAGATACCTAGCCCAAATAATCACTCCTACCCAAATACCTGCGCGTCCCCTACTTCTCTCTCAGCGAAAGGCTCTAATGGGAAAAACTCAACACACTCCATGAACACTCAAGTGCCTCACCTGAGAACCTACTCAACCTCAGGTGAAAAGACACTCTCCGTCCACTCCAACAGATATCACATTAACCCTGAATCCTTTTCTCCAGATACATTAACCGATGACTTTTCCATTAATCCAAATTTGACAACAAAAGACGCAATTATAAATCGGTTCATTAACATAACCCCAATTACCCAAAGTTGCAAAACAAAAAAACACAAAAATGGAAATAAATTAACCACCACCCACCATTGTGACATCGTTACCACTACCACCGGACCATTCCTCGACATCCTGGCTGTCACGACCCGGATTTACCACTCTCAGGAGTCATGATGGAGCCTACTAATAAGAGCTAGGCAAGCCAATCCTTAACTGCTTACTTCGTTAACAATTACTTCTTTTAACAATGATCGGCGATAGCATGAAAGTAACAGAATTAAATAAATATGCGGAAGACTTAAATTTAAAGAAAACTGAACAATAATGCGAGAATCAACATATGCCTCTACCCAAGAACATGTGTCACATTACTCACGAACTTCTAAGAGTGCTAAATACAACCGTTTGAAAGATAATATAAACTGTTTGTCTCGAATATATGAGATAACAGACGGAAATAAAAGATAGAGGAGACGTCGGGCCTGCGAACGCCTACAAGGCTACCTCAGTGTCTCACTGGACTGAAGGCTGGCTCCCGCGCTACTGCTGCTGTCCAAAACCTGGATCTGTGCAAAAGAGCACAGAGCGTAGTATCAGCATAACTGGCCTCATGTGCTGGTAAGTGTCTGGCCTAACCCCGGCGAGGTAGTGACGAGGCCAGGACTGGACTCTAGATAAACCTGTACAGTTATATAATATATGGCGGAAAAGTAAACAAGTAATAAGCAGTTAAAGCTAGGGAAGGGAAACATGCTTCGGGGATAGCAGTTTAAACAAATAATAGGGAATAATAAAGAAGCCAACACTATAACTTCTATCACAAATGAAGAAAATAAAGGCAACTTTCACTTTCAGTTTCCTCTTGTTGCAGGCGTGCAACCCAATCCCATTTCTCATATCTCGTGGTAGGTGTACCACCCGCTCCCATTTCATTCTATCTCATGGTAGGCGTACCACCCGCTCCCATTTCATTCTATCTTGTGGTAGGCGTACCACCCGCTCCCATTTCATTATTCTTGTGGTAGGCGTACCACCCTCTCCCATTTCATTCTATCTCGTGGTAGGCGTACCACCCGCTCCCATTTCATTATTCTTGTGGTAGTCATACCACCCGCTCCCATTTCAGTTCATCACACAATCACAAGAAATCCCGGCAAGGGAACATAAGTAATATAATAACTTCCCGACAAGGGAACAAAGACATCGAAATAGTCATCCCAGCAAGGGAGAATCAGCTATAACCAATATCACTTTGCTAGTACTCAGTTCAATTAATGGAAATACTTAATCGTAGAGGATCATTAATTAAAGTATACTAGGTGTCATTCAAAAACACAACAACTTTCAAGTTAAGACCCACGGTCATGCTTGACACCAACGTATAGATATTCGTCACCATGCCTATACGTCGTACTCAACAAGAAGCAAGTATCAAACATGACTCAACTCCTAATCCCTCAATCTAGGGTTAAACCAAACACTTACCTCGATGCCTTGAACACCACTCAAGTCTCAATTATAGCTTTACTTCTTGATTCCACCACCAATCCGCTCGAATCTAGTCATAAGTTACTTAATCACATTAATAAATGCTAAATGAATCAACCCCAATGCATGAAAATGAGTTTTTCAAAGTTTTATCCAAAAGTCAAAATTCACCCTCGGGCCCACACGGTCGAAACTCGAGGTTCGGACCAAACCCGATTACCCATTCCCCCACAAATTTAAATATATGGTTTGTTTTAAAATCGGACCTCACATTGAGGTCCAAATCCCCAATTTTAGAAAAACCTAGGTTCTACCCAAATCACCCAATTTCCCCATGAAAATCTTTGATTTAANCGTAACATCATGAACATCGAATTGAGCCTCAAGATCCATGAAATTTCTCAGATTTCCTTTTAAACATCAATTTTCCCAATTTGGGTCCGGATCCCGTCAAACGACGTCCGTTTTTTACCAAACTTTACAGGAGTGATTCAAAACATATATAAGACTCGTACCGGGCGCCGGAACCAAAATATGGACATGATACCATTGATTTCTAATCAGATTTCATTTCCATTTTATTTAAACATTTTCAAAGAACAATTTCACTTAAAAATTCATAACTCGGGCTTGGGATCTCGGAATTCGATTCCGGGCATACGCCCACGTCCCATATTTTCCGGCGGACCCTATGGGACCGTCAAATCACGGTCCGGTCCGTTTACCCAACATGTTGACCGGAGTCATACTTATTCATTTCGAGGTCAAAACTTAGCAATATTTCACAAGATTTCACATTTAAGCTTTCCGGCTATGTGCCCGGACTGTGCACATAAATCGAGGCGACTCTAAATGAGGTTTTCAAGGCCTCGGAGACATAGATTTAAATTAGAAATAGGTGATGAACCCTTTTGGGGTCGTCACATTCTCCACCTCTAAAACAATCGTTCGTCCTCTAACGGACAGAAAAAGGAAGTACCTGAGTCGGGAAAAAGATGAGGATACCGGTCCCGCATATCTGACTCGGACTCCCAGGTCAATGCCTCAGGGGGCTGACCTCTCCACTGAACGAAAACCGAAGGAAAACTCTTCGACCTCAGCTGGCAAACCTGTCGGTCTAGAATAGCCACCGGCTCCTCCTCATACGACAAATCCTTGTCCAATTGGACAGTACTAAAATCTAACACGTGGGATGGATCGCCGTGATATTTCCGAAGCATGGACATATGAAACACTGGATGCACTGCTGATAAGCTAGGCGGCAATGCAAGTCTATAAGCCACCTCTACCACTCGATAAAGGATCTCAAATGGACCAATGAACCTA